TTAAGTGAATCTGTTTAATTAAGGTAAAAGTCTCGGCGTTTTTGGCTATATTATCTTGGCTATATTATCTTGGCTATATTATTTTGGCTATATTATCTTGGCTATATTATCTTGGCTATATTATCTTGGCTATATTATTTTGGCTATATTATCTTGGCTATATTATCTTGGCTATATTATCTTGGCTATATTATCTTGGCTATATTATCTTGGCTATATTATCTTGGCTATATTATCTTGGCTATATTATCTTGGCTATATTATCTTGGCTATATTATTTTTGCTATATTATATTGGCTATATTATCTTGGCTATATTATCTTGGCTATATTATATTGGCTATGTTGGCTATGTTATGTTGGTTACGTTATTTTTACTGCATTATTTTGGGCTCTGTTATTATCAGGTGTTATTTTTGTCTCTTACGTCAACAAGAAAAAAGATGAGATAGTTTGGCTACATAATTAAGGATGAAGGGATAATGGTGGTTAAGAGTAGGAGAGTCAGGGGGTAGAGGGGGGTCAGGGGGGGTGGGGTCAGGAGTGGTCAGGGAGAGAGTGGTGGGGGGGGAACACGTATTTTGGGATGGATGAATGAAATTAAAGTTGTGGTTCCGGAGATATTTAAATAATCCCCAAAAACATACATATACATACACATACATACATACATACATACATAAATACATACATACATACATACATACATACATACATAGTCCATAACTATTAATTTTAGCCTTGTTTGTGTGTCACTGGAATATGGTGGTAGTGAATGGTGGTAGTGGTGCTGGTAGTAGTAGTAGTAGTAGTAGTAGTAGAGATAGTAGTAGTAGTAGTATGACGAATGAATAATGGTGATGGCGAGGAGAGAGGGAGAGAGGGAGGGAGGGAGGGAGGGAGAGGGAGGGAGGGAGAGAGGGAGAGGGACGGAGGGAGGATGTAAGCTCCTCCCTCCACCTCTCACCCCCTCCACAGTACCTCTCTACGCACCATACGGGCAGCCCAATTACCTACCCCCTCTCTCCCTCTCCACCCCACCCCACCCCACCCCGCCCGCCCACATACAGGAACTTATATAACAGTTAGGCAATACTCTCACATCTTACTCTAGATTACATACATACATACATACATACATACATACATACATATTGCCTGACCCCAAACTGTCCTGTGGCACTGTGAATTTACTGGCACTCACACTGCCTGGCCCAGATACTCTCCCAGTTCTGCCATTGGCTGTTGAATGTGACGTGTTTACCACTAAAATCTCCTATTGGCTGTTGAAAGTGACAAATTTAACTATAAAGTCTTCAATTGGTCTTTAATCTATGACGTAAATACTTCAAAAGTCTCCCATTGGCTGTTAAAGGTTACGCATTTAACACAAAAGTCTTCTATTGGCTGATAATCTATGACGTAAATACATGAAAAGTCTCTCATTGGCTGTTGAAGGTGGCGTATTTACCCTTAAAGTCTCCCATTGGCTGTTGAAAGTGACATATATTCTACAAACGCCTCCCATTGGCTGCTGATCTATGACGCATAAGCTAATTGAACTCGATTTAACACCAACTATTTTTTAAGGTAAGTTTAGGAAATATTAAGAAAGGTTTAAATAATTGTAGTTTGGTTTAGTTTTTTAGGAATATTTGGTTAATTTTAAGTAATTTTAAAAGTTCGGTTAATTTTTAGAAGTTTTAGGAAAGTTTAGGTAATTTTAGAAAAGTTTAGGTAATTTTAGGAAAGTTTAGGTAATTTTAGGAAAGTTTAGGTAATTTTAGGAAAGTTTAGGTAATTTTAGAAAAGTTTAGGTAATTTTAGGAAAGTTTAGGTAATTTTAGAAAAGTTTAGGTAATTTTAGGAAAGTTTAGGTAATTTTAGGAAAGTTTAGGTAATTTTAGAAAAGTTTAGGTAATTACAGGACAGTTTAGGTAATTACAGGTGAATTGAAATAAGTTATATAATATCATTTTAAGTACGTTTGAGAAAGTTTAAATAACTTTAAGTAATTTTTAGGGAATATCTGTTATATTTTCGTCAATATTTAAGGTAAATTTTAGGTCCTCGAGGCAGACGGTCAGCTCTTAGCCTTTACAATATTACAATAATTTCCCCCGGGACATATTAACTCCTCCTGCTCTTCCTCTTTCTCCTCCTCTTCCTCTTTCCACTTCTTCACTTACTCTCTCTAAACAGCTAAATGCCAACAAAAAAATCAGATATTAATTAATTCAGCCACTCAGGTGTGAAGTCCGTGGGATTGTGGGGTAATTGGTCAGGTGGGTGGGGGGGAGATGAGGGGTGAGGTAGGGAGGGAGAGGAGCAAGGGGAAGGGGGGTAAGGGTGAAAGGGGGTAAAGGTGGTGGAGGGGGTAAGTGTTTTTTCTGACTGTCATATGTTTTTAGTGACTGTCATATGCTTTTAGTGACTGTCATATGCTTTTAGTGACTGTCATATGCTTTTAGTGACTGCCATATGCTTTTAGTGACTGTCATATGCTTTTAGCGACTGTCATTTGTTTTATTAGGCAGGTTGTGTCACATATTTTACCTTATATAAAAAAAATGGTGAAATATGACGTTATTGTTAACACGAGAGAGAGAGAGAGAGAGAGAGAGAGAGAGAGAGAGAGAGAGAGAGAGAGAGAGAGAGAGAGAGAGAGAGAGAGAGAGAGAAATATTATGATGAGCTCTTTAAAAATAGTCACAAAAGTTATCACCGTCTTAAAAACACCTTTACCTGAGAATCTTCAATTACCTGCCCGCCAGCTTCATTACCTGCCTCAGCTGTCAATACTCCATCTTGACTACTGACAGACAGACACACTGACAGACAGACACACAGATAGACAGACTAGTGATATATGCTGACAGATAGAGTATTGTGATTTACTAAAGGTATCTCACCTGATATTTACCTGTGCAGTGTTTAGATACACCTGTTCTTGTGTATGTGACTTATAACACACACACACACACACACACACACACACACATGATCCCAGCCCCTTCACCTTTCATCCTCCCTCTCCCTTCCTCCCTTCTCCCTCATTCTCCCTCACCCCTCCCTTCCTCTCCTCCCTCCTTCTCTCCCTTACTTTACTTGTCAGTTTACTGCCTAGTCATTTATTTAATTCACACAGTATTTCGTTTAAGTAAGTTGGCTCTGTGTGTGTGTGTGTGTGTGTGTGTGTGTGTGTGTGTGTGTGTGTCGGGTAATATTTTTGTAACTGTTATTATAATAAACTGTATTTTCATTTCTTCATATATTTCGTGAACTTAAATCAGTTTATTTCAAGGTAAATGTTTTATTATTTTTTGTAATTTATTTTGTTATTTTATTTGTGGACTTGATGGAATTTATTTCAAAACAATTAAGTAAAAAATAATAATCATATTCTGTGTTTATTCTCGTTTGTAAAAAAAAAAAATATTCAATATATTTTCAATTTGGGAAGAATTATTATGTACCCTTACTAGGTTCAAACATAAGCTTACTTCAACATTCAAAGGTTCAAACATAAGCTTACTTCAACATTCAAAGGTTCAAACATAAGCTTACTTCAACATTCAAAGGTTCAAACATAAGCTTACTTCAACATTCAAAGGTTCAAACATAAGCTTACTTCAACATTCAAAGGTTCAAACATAAGCTTACTTCAACATTCAAAGGTTCAAACATAAGCTTACTTCAACATTCAAAGGTTCAAACATAAGCTTACTTCAACATTCAAAAGTTCAAACATAAGCTTACTTCAACATTCAAAGGTTCAAACATAAGCTTACTTCAACATTCAAAGGTTCAAACATAAGCTTTCCTCAAGACAAAAAAAAAATGGAGACTTACCTTGAAATTCCTTCCTGGCGGCGGAAACGTTGGTGACGATATTGGCGATGTGGCCGAGGACGGTGGCGAATAGGAGAAGACCAAACATAAGCTGGGCGATCTGGTAGAGGTAGTCGGTTTTGGTGCGGGTGTTAAGGGTCGCCAAGTGTCGCGTTCTGTTACCTGGATCTTCGTGGATTGGATTACCTCCGATGGTAGTGAGGCTGAGGGTGCACCAGTAAAAGACTTTAAGGTATTCGAGAACCACGTCTTCAGAAGCGTTGTTGGAATAGACGAACTGGGGTTTGAAGCTGAAGCCGTCGTTCTTGGCGATGATATAGAAGAGGCAAGCGTTCCAGTGAAAGATGACCAACAGGTAGTGTATAAGACTGATGGAACGGAACAGGTTGGGAGAGTTGGTGTGTCTTTCAGTTCTATCTAGAAAGTGCCAGTACTTGTAGATCTTCACTAAGCGAAAACATCTCAATATGGACTTAAAGTTTATGGATAAATACAAGAAATCTAACGGTAACAAGCATAAACAGTCAACGTAAAAGGTAGTGGAGTTCATGTAATGTTGTCTCAATTTGCGCGAGTCAGTCTGTAACACCCCATCCTCCAGGTACCCGGTCCGGAAGTGAAACAGGATATCTAAAACGTATATCAGATCAGCGAAATAATCCAACAAAAACCAAACAAGAATACTGTTTCTGGTAATCTCTTGGAAGGCGAAGCGATACACCATCACCCACAGATTGTACAAAAATGCTAACGACACAACCAGAGACCAGTAGTAACAGAGTCTCCCCGCCGGGTCGAATACAAAGGTCCATCTACACCCCGTCTTCTTATCCGAACTACTGGTGCTCGACTCCCACTTATCCACTTTACTAAACCGGCTCTTGATCTCCTTCTTGCGAGCCTCCCGAGTCTTCCGGCTTATGTCGAGCTCGGAGGCCACATGGGCGCGGTTAACGTAGGACGCCGAGAAGGACTCTCTGGAGAACCGCTTCCTGCTGCCGATGCTGATCTTGGAGGATACAATGTCGAGCAGGGACTGGCGGGAGACGGACTTACCCTTGAGGGAGCCCTGAGGTTTCTCGATGTAGACGGGGGAGCCTGTGTTAAGGCGACTACCGGACATACTCATTCGCTGTGTAGTGATGATCC